CCCTCAAAAAATCAGTCAAAATACCAAAAAAAAAAAAAAAAATCGGCTATACACATTCCTAAAGGGCACTGATTGTCTACACCAGTGATGGCGAACCTATGGCACACGTGCCACAGCGGGCAAGCAGAGCCCTCTCTGTCGGCACGTGAGCTGTCGTCCCAGCATCGCCCCAGCAGCCGAGCAACAGATAACAGTGCACGCAGGGGCCATGCGCAAGCTCATAAAGGAGTAGCAGTGCCAGGCAATGACATCACAAGCTGCAACTCATTAGCCACAACTTGTCCGAGCTTTTGCATGGCCAGTCAGTGTGCTGCCAAGGATTTATATATATAGTTGCTTGGACTGGCTGTGAGTTGCTTTTTCTAAATGAAAACCTCAGTATTCAGGTTTTATTGCAGTGTTGGCACTTTGTGACAAATAAGTGGGTTTTGGGTTGCAGTTTGGGCACTTGGTCTCTAAAAGGTTCACCATCACTGGTCTAGACTCATTCTAGCATGGGTTCTGCCCTGACTGGAACAGATTCAACCTTGGTTGCGCTGGGGTATTCTTTTTTGGGACGCAAGGAGAGTGGCTGCTACTATTACTTTATCTCACAGGAACTTTTGAAACCACTGATCATGGCATCCTCCTGGATCACTTCTATGAACTGCCAGCATGATTCTGTGGTGGCTCTGCTACTATCTGCAGGGCGAATTCCTGAAAACAGTTATGGGGGACTGTATGCCAGCCTCCGTCAGTTTTCCTGCAGGAAGCTCAAATGCTGTTTACATGAAGCTTCTAATGACTGGGTTGATCCCCCAGCAGTGACTGAGCGCTATCAGTATTCTGATGATACTGAAGTCTATTTTCCCCTTATATCTGAATCAGGAGAAATCACAACTTAAATCACGGTTTGAATGCAGTGGTGGACTGGATGGCATCTGGTAAGCTGAATCTGAATCTCATAAGTTACAAGCATTGTGAGTAGTTCCCAGTCCAGGAATTAGGGAAATTATCAGCTCTGGATGGGGCTGTACTCCCCCTGAAGTAAGAAGCTCCACCCTTATCCACTGCTGTCCCTAGAGCTCAAGTGACCTTGACAGCCAGGACTGCCTATGCAAGTTTAGGCTAGTATAGTACACTTATTCCTGGATGTGGATACCCTAGCCATTGAGATCCATGCATTGGTAACTCAAGACTAGGCCACTGTTGTACATTCTATGTGGGGCTGCCCATAAAGCTGGTTCAGAAGCTGCAGAATGCGAAAACTATATTATTGACTGTGGTGTCCCACTGTGCACCACATATTATGCTAATATTAAAGGATCTATGCTGGCTATAAGTCTGCTCACAAGCAGGATTTAACATCCTGGCATTAGTAAACAAAGCCCTATTCAAATCAGGGCAAAGTTACCCCAACATCTCCCTTTGTACCACCGTAGCAGGTAACTGCATTCTCAAGAGAAGGCCCTATTGTCTGCCATGACCTATGGATTTTTGTCTGATGACGATAGTGGTACCTTCCTTGTGGAATGATCTTCCTTCCAAGGTATGTCAGGCCTCAACTCCAGCATCTTAGGCATTTATTGAAAACTTACCTGTTTGCTTTGGCTTTCCCCCAGCCATGAACTATCTTTGAACCAGCCTGATTATACCACTGTGAATATGTCTGCCTGTACACACTCTTTTTGGTTTATTATTCTTTTGTGAACTGCTTCAAGGTTCGTTTCAAAAAAGATGCAGTATATGTTAACATAATATTAATATATTCATCACTTCCTATCTACAGTACAAGAACAAGTTTACAGTGATAATACATAATGGTAGTGATGTGAAGCATGAGAATTGTTCTACTACTTAAATTCTGCAGAAATTTTCATAAGCTGATTGATGAAAATTAAAGTATGCCACTTACAAATACCCTTTTAAGCGAAGAATTAAGATGGGATTCTTTTAAAGTGTTATTTACTATATGCAAGTAAAATAACATGATAAATGTGATCTCTCTTGAACAAGGATGGGCAGCTCATGGCCCTTCAGATGCTTTGGTTTAGAGCTCCCATCAGCTCTAAGCAGCATAACTAATGTTAAAGGATGACAAGAATTGTTGGTCAAAACATCTAGACGTATCAAAACAGTTTCCCACACAAACTGAAAATGTCCAAATGCTGATTTCCAATTCAATATTTACTGGAAAACCCACTACTTAATGGGAGATATTGCAATACACCAGTATTAATAAGGGAAGGATATTATTCTTGTTAATAAAGTGGGACTGCATAGCTTTTTCCGAAAAAAAAAAGTTAAAATCCTCAAGTCCCCCCTTTTGGGGTTTCTACCAGCTTGAAAGTACCAGAGTAGGGGTCCTCTCACCTCAGAATTATTCCCTGTCCACTTGTGAATAAAACTGCTACAGCAGGACCCCAAAATTGTAATTTAATTATGGAATTTTGGAAGATGAAAAGTAAGATTGATTTTAAGTGAAGGAGGAAGTATCACTTGTCAAGACATGCAGTTACTCCCCTTATTTTTCTGTAGACCACAAGCTAGAGCTTGCAAGCTGTGAATAGGAAATTCCCAAGCGAGTTCAAAAACTGTTGCTTGCTGCTGACCACCTGATTAAAGCTTTATGGCTCATATCCACCCACCTTCTCATTTATTATTTATATGATGTTCCAGACTCACATACTTTATACGCAAAGGAGTTTTTCAGTACAAAGAAGGAATGCACAAGTACGGCACCATAACATAGCAAAGTGACCCTGTATTTTGTGCCCAGAGAACAGATGGGGACAAAGAATAAATATATATATACATGTGTCCAAAGTATTTATGTATCTGCTTTCTCAAGGAACCCAAATGTTTCTTGGATTGTAATTGAAATGGTAATAAAGTCAGGCTGAAAGTCTGGCATAGATTCAGCTCAGTTTTTCATACTGCAGAGAAATCTATTCAGTCTGTGCATCTAATTTTCTTCAGGTTAGAATCTGTAAGGGATGGCATGCTATAACTAATTTAGACTGCAAATAGTATATCTTCCTCTAAAATCTCTATAAACATGTGTACTAAACCTCTACACTTTCATTTGGAATTCTTTTCTATAATATGCAAGACAATTTTCCTACAGAAATCTTACAAAACTGTGATCTGATCCAACCATGGCATGTAGGGGGTACAATATTATTTAATACAGGAATGGTCCATGGACAGAATCCTGCCATCAGTGCAATTTCATTTAGTCAAAATCAGATTTATCCAGATTCAATCATAGTATGATAATGTTTGCCCACAGCTTCACTTACTAAGAAAACGTTTTCAACTTGTAAGTAATGTGGGTCACTGTTTAAAGATTTACTTCCTATTTTATTTTGTATGCATATTTGAATGTACTACCATCCCTGAGTACAGGTCCATAACTATGAATTAACTTTTACTACTACTTGGAGCCAACTTTTATGGAGTTTTGAAGGAATCTATTTCAGCAACCACAGCTCTGATCCCCAAAGCCCTGCATTTTATTTATTTATTAAAACATTTTTATGCCGCCCCATTCGCCGAAGCCTCGGGACGGCTCACAACAATACTGCATGAAGTACTAAGTGGTCCCCCAAGATATACTAAAGTCCCTATTCCTACTTTACATCAAAGGCCAGGAATTTCTGAATCATTACCATCAAGAGTTTGTGAAAACATCCAGCTAGTTTCCAAGTAAAACCAATAATTAGATCACCATTATTATTGTTATTATTAATATTTCTATACAACCCAAAGCTGAAGCTTTCTGGGTGGTTCACAACATTTAAGTCACCCATCCACTTTTCAAGCAGTCCTGGCCCTGCTGAGCTTCCAAGATTTAGCAGATCAGGTACTTCATACATGCAAGTCAAATTTTAGAAATGAGCGTCTTTGCAAATAATGAATAACACACTACACCTTTCACTGAGAAGCATGCTGAAATGTTCCTTAAGCTTCTAGGTCCAAGCATCAAGTTATTAGGTAATCAGAGTTTTCCTACTTCTGAATTTCAGAATTCACATGAACAACAGCTTCTGATATTAAAACATCTGAAAGTAACACTAATGAGAACAAGAACCAAATCCCACTCTGCCTCTCATACACCAAGCAGTATCCCAGAAAGACTAGGGGAGTGTACACACACCTGTCACTTTTTTAACAGCCAAAACTAAGATAGAATCCTCCCCAGTTGCTCTTGGTGCTGCAATATTAGTAGTCGCAAACAAGAATTACATTGAACTATTTAGTCTAAAATGGTTTTTTTGGGGGGGATATGTAAGAGGGCAATCAAGGTATAATAAATCTTCAGATGTTATGTTTAAGATCAACATTTCTTCCCTCAGTCATTTCATATGGACACAGATACATTCTTATTCTTCAATATACTTTGAGCACAAATCAATAAGATTTTAAATACTAGTAGTTTGCATACTCTATCTTCAAAGTTCCCTTCAAGTTCTAGAATACTGAAGCCTTCACACACCTGTTTAAAAATGTGGTACGATCGATCTTTGGAGAATTTTGAACTTTCAGACAGAATATGACAATTGTTGCTTTGCTAGGTAAACCCACTTTTTCAGGTCCAGGAACCAACAAAGTTTAGAACACTAGCAGCTTTATTATTTTCAATGCTAAGGTGCTTGATTTTCAATGAACAAAGGTCTATTTGTCAAGTGGTAATAAACATATTGACCACAACACTGGACAAATATACAGGTCTTCAGATAGATGTATTACCTGAAATTCTGTCTCTAGAGAGTACATTCAGTGACAATGAAGTCAACAGAGACACCGACAACAAACTCATGCTCTTTCAATAATGTAAAGCATTCGTTGGTTATACATCACAAACTGCCTATGATTCCTTCATTTCCCTAATTCACCATTGCCACTTTTTAATTTTATTTTGCTTTAGAAAAGTAAGTGGATGTTTAATCACTTTAAAGTTGTCGGTTCATGGTACCCTAAAACAGTTTGATTACAACAAAATTATTAAAATGAGTTACCTTCAGCAGAAAAGTTTTAGGCTTCGGTCCTCTCTTCTTCGGTCCATACAGCTCACGTTCACGTTCCCTGAGTGGAGGGAGAGGGAGGAAATTAAATGCTTTTAAAAGAAGGCAACAACTTCTTTTAAATTTAAAAAAGGTATTTTAACTTCTCAACAGCTGCAAATGACACTGCAGTACTTCCTCACTCCCCCCCTCCTGTCAGAATCGAACTTACAACTTACTTTTGCTCGAAGGCTGCAATCAGACGGGAATCCAGGATGTTCTCTTCAGGTTCCCAAGTGCTGTACCTGCAGAGGTGTGCAGACCGGAACAGTTAATAGTCACAAGCAAAAGAAGTGTATTAGGCGGGGGGGGGGGCAGATTTTAAGTGCATGTTGGGGAGCTGTGGTGGGGGTTGGTCAGAAGGAAAGGCAGGAGACACAGAGAGAACGCCACCGTGTGTCTGTGCAACCAGAGAAGGGACGCATAATATTAGCCCAGCAAGAGGCCCAGGAGGCGGGAACGGGCTTCATGCATGCAGACGAAGAACGAGAGACGCCAAGGAACTCACTTGATGGCCCAGCCTTTCCATTTCACCAGGTATTCGATGCGTCCCTGCAAAATACGGGGAATTGACGGAGAGGAGTGAGGGTGGGCGAGGGAAGAGAAGGGAGCAAGAAAGGCAAAACGGGGAGGGGGAGAGGTAGAGACGGGAGCAGGTTAGAGAGGTGGCAATGGCAGCCAACCCCAGCCAAGGCCTCCTTGCTGGCCCGCCGCTCACCTTTCGGATCCGCCGCTTGATGATGGATTCGGCCGCGAAGACCCGCTCGCCCACTGCAGAGAGCTCCATCTTTGCTCAGCCTCAGCAGCAGCAGCAGCGGCGGCGACGGCGGCGGCACCCACAGCCCATAATAATCCCGCCCGCTCCCTCGCCTTCCCTTCCTCCCTCCTCAGGGCTGCCTGACTGACTGACTGGCTGGCTGGCTGGCTGAGGCGGGCGGGCAGCTCTGCCGTTCCCGCGACAGCGGCTCGAGGGGCTGGTTTTCAGGCCGTGAACGCGCACGCGCGCTCGCGGGCAAGCGGGCACGCGCCACCGCGCGCTCTACGAAGGAACGTGACGCGAGCGAGCCCCTCTCCCCCCCCCAAACCCCTCCTCCCGCTTTGCGCGACCCGTTGTTTTTAGACCTAGAGAAGAAAGCCAGACAGCGCAGGCGCAGGCTCTTAAAGAGGCCGCGCGGGTAAGTTTGGAAGCATGAGGGGGCCGGTGGACGTGCGGGGAGCGAGGATGGGAAAGTACAGCGTGGACTAGCCGCGGCGGCCCTCCTCCGAGTGTTTCCCGCTAGAATCTTTCCATTTTCTCAGCTGCCACGGCCACCCGCCATGCTCGCATTTGTCTCATTTCCCTGATGGACTTTTTCTTGTGGCGAGCGCTTCTTGGCGAACTAAAACAAAGCAAAAAACCAAACAACGTTTTCACCTCACCAAGAGCAAAAACATTCCGTGCAATTAGAAGCTTTTAATTCTTAGAGCGCTTTTTAGAGTCGTGACGTCTTGGAAAATTGGCCGCATTCAGGCCAGTTTTGCCAGGAATCAAATGACATTGTCGATTTGCTACTGAACGATTCCATGAAGGCTGCTTTTGCTGTGACTCCATAAGCCCTGCAAAATGTTCCGCTGAAAACAGTAGGAAGAGGCTTGGAGTATTTGAAGAAACATTTATCATGCTATCTGCTAGTTTATTAGATCTCCTAAAATACATATAATTAAAACAAGGCAGCCATAAACACTTTATGGCGCAAGCTTTGTAAGCATTTTTTCTGACTAAAAATACATAGAATGGTGCCTGAAGCGGCTTGCTCTCCTGCTACAATTTGCTTTTCGAATACAGCCCTTTCTATGTTAAATATCACTTCACATACATTCTTTGCCCTTGCCTTTCCACATGCAGATTTCTTGGCGTTTGTTTTGCATAGCCTATATAAGGCAAAGTAAGGAGGGCAGACCTGTTAAAAGAAAGCTGAAAGCAGAAACTATTTGTTATTGTTGTTTTTAGACCATCTTTAGAAATGAACTCTCCTAAGACAGAGGGCAATATATATGTCTACAAAGACAGTAAATATACAATAAAATACTATGAAACACTAGAAAAACAGACTACACACACACACACAAAACCCTATAGCCTGCAGATTTTGGGAACACCAGCAAAAAAACAACTGGGTCTTAAGAGCCTTTCATGGCCATAGGAAAAATTTCTCAGTACACTGTCTGAAAGGTTACAATATTTTTCTTACATACATTTACTTGGAAAGTTTGTTCCTGCTTTTCTAGTGTCAGAAAACAGTTTGCATCAAAATAAAGCTACAATATATATACACAAGTGTGTGTGGGGGGGGTCACTTAAGAACTGGCCTATTATGTTGCTAGTATTAAATAAGCAGGAAAATCTGGTGCACCCATACACTTTTATTAGTAGCATACAACTACATGACTTGCAGCTAACTGTGAGAGTTGTTTTGTTTGCTCCCTACTTCCAAGTAATGAGATATGCAAAGATAGTAATATAACACTTCATTTCACTGGAAGAGAAGGCACTGGAGACTTACTGTTATCCCTGTAATATTTACAAATATTACAGAGCACCCTAGTGGAAGCAAACAGACACTCCAACAGCAAGCAACACGTCTCTCAGGGAACAACTGTTGCAGCCCAATCCCTCATGCTGGCAGGCCTAATTCCAACTAACTACCCAGAAGCTCTCAGCAGTTTCTCACTATCTCTGTCCAATCAAAACTGCAAACTGTTGATTCTTGCAAACTCATTTGTAAACCTGCTTCTCAGACCCTATGCTTAAAGATGAATTACTCATTCAGGAGATCATCCACAGTTACTGAAGAACATTAAGAACACAATCTTAGGCATGTTCAGACAGGAAAAGTCCTAGTTGTAGGATTTTTTTTTTCCTGTTGGACCACACCTTAATGCTCTTTTGTCAAGGCCTTGACCTTTCATTCACAATGAATAAGCCAATCAAATATATACGTAAAAGTATCACATCTGAGAGGAAATGTGTAGTGTAATAAAGTTCCAGCAGCATTTGATTTGTGATACCAGATTTACACATGCAGTTCATCACTTGACATTGCAGTCATCAAGGAATTAGCTTGTATATATGAACTACATAAACTCAGCTTTAGTCACAGGAATCAGGAGGTGACAGTCACTTGCACTGAGAATGAGAGAGTGAAGTATTAAATCACTAAATGTTCCTTGAATATTAACATTTATATGTGGGTTCATGAAAGGAAGGGACCATCTGAGATTTTAGTAGCCCCTGTGGCCTACATAACATACAACCATTTTATATGTACATGCACAAAACTGGAGAGGGAATTCTCAGCTGGATGGAGGTGTTGCTGCTGCTACCACTTCCCCCTCTCTTTGAGGACCACATGCATCACACATGCACATGCCAGGGACATGCCAGACTGGGCAACTTGCAATTGCATATATATGCAGTAATATGTGTTTGCCTGCACATTATTTCATTTTGATTTTTGCAAGATTAATATACTGCTCCACATCTGCACAGATTCAAGAGAGAGAACTACATAAATAACTAGATTAAAACACAACAACAAAACAATATAAAAACAATTGGTCAACCAAGGAAGGCTCCTGTAATAAAGGTGTTTTCAGGCGGTGCTAGAAACAAAGTTGGTGCCTGCTTGGTCTCTGGAGGCAGGAAGAAAGTGAGCTATCACACCAAAGGCTTTTGTTTGGGTAGACTCCATTCAAGCCATAGATCCATGTGGAACCACCAGGAGCTAACACTCTGATAACCTTACTGTCTGGGCAGGTTGAGAGAGAATAAGGGGTTTTCTTGGGTATCCTGGTCCCAAATAGTTTAGGACTTTGTGTGCTAGTACCAGAACCTTACCCCTTGCATGTTAGTAAATTGGGTTCCCTTGGCAAAAGAGTTGCATGCTGAAAAGGGACAGCTCTTAACATCCAAACTGCTGCATTCAGCAGTAGTTCCAGCTGCTGGACCAGCCTTAAGGACAGTCCTACACAAGATTATATTGTCGTAATCCAGTCCTGCAGTTACTAAATGTGCACTACTTCACTATGTGTGAACCCTTCTAAAGCAGGCAGTGACTCCATTAAATAAACTGCCTTCTTGCCCATTTGCAGCCCAGAAAGTACTGTGTCATCTTAGAATCCACTACTTTTTAATCACAGGACTTCTTTACAGTTCAGTGGTATTTATTACTATCACAGACGTTGCCTGCTTTTTCCTACATTGTGCATAGCAACTAAATCCTCTGATAAGCTGCAAAGGTGCTTTGTTACACTTCTGTAGCAATCAGCACTCTGGAGAGCGCTTGCTACATTGTTTTGTTTACAATCAGTGGATTCCCTAAATGGGAATTACACAAGGAAGTTAAGTTTGTAATCACTGCAGAATACGACTGATGAAGGAATTGATCAATAAGGCTGAGGCCAGCCACATAATTAGGGTCCTTTAGGAGGCCATTTGCAGTGCTTTCATTGTATACCCATAACCTTGTTTTTTTGCTGTGTAAGACCAATATGGCATTATCCCATATGTTATGGACTGGTTACTAGGAGATGTCAGGAAAGCTGCTAAAATAACTGCATTTAAAACACATTAGATAAATGGATAGAACATTAACTGCTTTGTTTTCTCATATCTACAAGCTGAATTAAAATATTTGTTCCAGTGAAACAAATTGGTGTCTTTGCTAAAAATTTTGAATAGCCTTTTATTTATATACTCACAATTTCCACAACTTATTCTATCACATTCTGTCATTGTTTCTTCATTTCACACTTTTATAAACAACTCATGCATTCATAAAAATCAGGAAAAAATAAATGAATATTAATTCCAATTATTTGCAAATTTGGCAACAACGCTATTTCAAATACTATAGAGTGTTTGAACAGAGAAGTATCAAAGTGTGTACATCTACTTGTGCTAATAGTTTCCCCAAAGCCAAAAATAAATTCTGTTTGAATCCTATTTTTAAAACCTCTCATTGTATCTCCTACAACGCTTTGAATATTTGTTATAGAACCACAGTACCTACCCACTTTTTGCTACACTTGCTGGCAAGCTGGCATCACCAAAAAATTCAAGTTTGTTATGACCTTGCAAACAGAGCAGGGATCAGGGGTAACATGTATCTCTTTTTAAAATGTGAGTATCTTTATCACTCTTACCACCCTCTCAGCTTCACAAGGATGTTCTAAAAGGAGTGCAAGACTGTGGTCTACTCAGAGTTATGCACCACTGAGTTCAGGGGGATTTTCACTCATTTAAGTGGTATACTTTCATGCTAAATGAAAGAAAGAGAGAAATTATCCTTAGGGCATAGTCAAGGAATTGAAGTAGCCTGATATTTCACTCAAGAAATATGCTTGTCCTCTGTTTTGAATTAGTCTGGTTAAAGGCTTGCTCTCTATGGACCCCTTTTCCCCCTCTGACGAAGAACCCATGACCTCTTGAATACTGTTGGACTAGAGTTCTCATCACCCCTAGGCATTAGCTATATTGACTAGGCTGATGGGAATTGGAGTCCAGAAACATCTGGAAAACTGTATGTTCCCAATCCCTGCTTTAAAACTTCTGTATGGGGTGAAGTGGGAATAAATGGAAGGAAGAGGCAGAACTAGGTTCTGTAATAAGGCCACAATTCACTTTAGAGAACTTCCAATCCTTCATAACATGAAATGTTGTGAAACATGTTTGGTCTGCCACCTACCACCCACAGTTCAAAAAAAATGGGACACTATTTTGTTCGATTGAAAAGAGCTCTGCATACAAATGACACAACTTTCCCTTATGTTGGACTGGGACCCACAAGGCCCAGGTCTCAGTTCTCACTCAGTCATGATGCTCTCTTCAGCCCAAGCTACCTCACGGGCTGTTTGTGAGGATAAAGTGGAAAGGAGGAGGATTATGTGAGCTACCTTGGGTTCTTACCAAGAGGAAAAGGTGAGATATAAATGGAATAAATCAAAATAAATAGATGTACCCCATATTTCACAACTCAGAAGAATGTCTCCTTATCCCTTTTGCTGGTAGTGTACTTGATCACATTTGCTCAGGTCCAGGTTATTACCATATATGAGTGCACATGCATGTACATATGCAATGTGTACACTATTTCTAATCTGATACTATAGGAATGAGGTATGAAGAAGTGGTTGGTGTAAAAAGAATATTGACCTATCTAGGAAAAAACCAAAACAAATAGGTGAATAGATTTAGCTATGGCACCATAGCCATAAATTAGAGTTCAATCATCAGAACAGAGGGCTTAACCATAGTTAGAAATATAATTGTGCATATTCCCAGTCAGAAAAATGAGCCATCCAAATTGTCCTGATCTTGAGAAAGCATGTAATGCTAAGGCAGCACCAACTATAATTACACATGAGTAGGGTTTCACTTGCAGCCATATCTAGTTCTACTGAGGATTGCTTTTGGCCAAGGTGAAGCTGCCAAGCAGCAAGTGTGTTGTTTTTAGAGAAAAGAGGGGAAAATACAGGATTATTAAACAATCTGGTGAAACATTTTCATAGTGCTCAAGCTTGAAATTTGATATCTGTACAAGTGCAGTAACAAATATAGGGCTGTTTGAAGTTTTCTGGTTGTATATATTCCAGAGAACATTAGTAAGGGACTTCATAATAACTTCATTATTAGAATGCCTGGCTTGTGTAGGGTGAGATATATAGCAAAAGGTATAGGAGAGATGAGTAAAATGCATTCCATTTACCAATAAGTTGGTAATTACTAACAAAATAATTTAAAAATCACCAATGCACTAGTTAGATAGCCAAAGAACAAAAACACGCTCACTCTAATTTCATAACTATGGAACTTCTCATTTTCTTTTTTCCACACACCCATTGCCCACCACCCTCCCACAGTGGCTGGCTTGCATATCATCTCCAGCCACTGATACTGCTTTAAGTGTACAAGCAGCCTTAGATTCCTGACCGTGGAGCTGGGGAAATACAGAACCTTTAAATACATTTGCGCTAAATGGCATTCATTGCCAAAAGATACTGTGATTGATTGGACACTAGCTTAGGTGGACACTCAAAAGGATAGGCTGATTAGCCATGATAGTTGACTTAGAATCAGCACATTTCAGAATATCCGTTGGTGAGAAATAGAAAGATATCTCCATCATGCTCTCTTCCATGAAGTTCGGAAACTAGCCACTGCCAGAAGCAGAATGCTGCACTTTATTTTAAGGAGTAGGGAAAGAGGCTGAGAGATGTCAGCAGTGGATATATCCAGATTTTTTGTGCAGTTTTGGACACTGCATAAAGAGGACATTACCAAACTTGAGTGTGTCCAGCAAAGGCTAACCAGGTAGTGAGATATCCTATCAGGTGCAGTTCAAGGAACTGGGTATTTCTAGCCTGGAGAAGAGATTAAATATCAAAACATCTGCAGGCCTGTCCTGCAGAAGACAGGGAAAGCAAGTTCTCTGATGTTCCATAGGGCAGGTACAGAATGAATAAGCAGATATGGGGAAGCATATTTCAGCTGTAGATTAAGCAAACTTGGTCCCTGTATCCCTCCCCACATCCAAATCCATGATACACTCAGACTTTTAAATATTTGTCTTGATTGTTGCAAGCTGGCTTTTTCTTCAGTTCTCTTTATCGAAACTATCATTTGACAAGGTCACATGTAGTCAGATACTGAAATCTCTTTCAGCTTAGATGCTGTTCCCTGAGGATCTGGCTTCAACTCAGCTTGTGAAGGCTAGAAATTAAAAGCAGTTGAAACTTACCAAGACCCAGTCAGTTTGTAAAACAGACTGGCCTCCCAGAGGTTGTAGGGACTGGAATACTCATCAATGATCACTGGCATGGGCAATGGTAGAAGAGGAAGGGGTTGCAGTCCAACATTAAGAAAATGAGTTCATCACCGCTGGTGTACAGAAACAGTGCTAAGCATCTTCTCCCCATGGTAGCAACAACAGCTCAGGATTGTAGAGGTGGACACTTGGTCTTTAGCATCCAGACTGCTGTTGATGTAGCCCACTCTGGTTTGGTTTGCTCCAGACATGGTTTGATGTACTTATCCCAGCATGCTAAAAAGGCTCACACAAATTCTCAGCTGTCAAAACCTTCCTCCTAAACCCCAAGAAACTGCCTACTATTATTTGCAATTGCCACATCTCTGCTAGCAGCATCTTAAAACAAGAAGACAGTATTTATTTATCTGATTTCAACTGATCCTTCCGCTGGACTGTCTTCAGAAGCTGGCATACTATCTTCTCTCTGTATCTTCCATCCACTAGCCATCTGTAAAGCATGTTAGTGTCACGGTTAGGATTCCTCAAATCCAAATCTAATACCCTCCTCACACTACGGATATTTCCATGGAAAATGTTTATTGTGCAATTGCACTTCCTTGTTCATGGAATTTTGTGGGATTCCAGATGTTATCTTTACTTTTTTTTTATTTCAATTTATATCCTGCCTTTTTCCTACGAAGGGCTCAAGGCAGCTTACATCCTCCTCCTCCTCCATCTTATCCCCACAACAACAACCCTGTGAGGTAGGTTGGGCTGAGAGTCTGTGACTGGCCCAAAGCCACCCAGTTGGCTCCATGGCTGAGCGGGGACTAGAACCCGGATCCTCTGAGTCCCAGTCCCATGCTCTTAACCACTACACCACGTTTTTTGCACCATTCCTCCCATCTTGTTTCTTACCAGAAATTGATTGATTGATCAGTCAGTCAATCAATCAATTGAAGAACAGACATAATAGCTGCACAAAGTAATGGGATTGTGAGGTTGGGGTGAATAACATCATATAGTACATTATAGATGCTTCGAGAAAGCAGACCTAAGAGAAACCAGTTTTAGACAATAAGAATCAAAAAGAATACACAGAAACAAGACATTAGCTAAATGTCAGTTCTCATTTAATGTTATTATAATCTTGTTTGCAACATTTACCACATAAATCATCTAAATAAATAGATGTTGTACAGTCTTTTAACCATTATCAATACAAAAATAAAGCCGCTCATTGCATCAATTAAAACTTGCTCTGGCCTTCTCATTTCTATTACACTCTGTTTGCAGCAAAAACTCACTCATTCACAAAAAAGGCATTAAAACTTCCATTTATTTACTTTTAATTTTGCTTGGAATTTGTTCCCTCAGCCCCACCCTCCCCAAATACATTCAGTTAGTCTTTACAAAATAACCAAAGAAGCTCATTCTGTGCAAAGGAAGCTTTTGTGTGCAAAGATAACTTGGGCACTGTGTCAAGAAGATACCAACTCAGATATCATGCCAATAAAGAGAACTAATGAAAAGCCCCACAACACATTGAGAAAAATTAAAAGAGAATACCACCTCAGGTCTCTCTCTCCCCCATCACAACTACTCTGCCCCTTTCCAACCCTGAAGAAAACAATATAGAATTAAGCAATTAATTCAGACTGGGATCTTGAAAGATCAAGTGCAAATGAGGACGAACACAGCTCCACCCCCTTCAACAGGAAACAGACTTGGCACTGAATAAGCCTTCAGACTTCATTAGACAATTATAATGCCCTGTACTGATTTATTAAATCTTTGATTTCATGGTATTTTCCCAACCTCCTTTCATAAAAAGGGGTCACCAGTAAAAGAATACAACAGTTATTAAGAAAAAACTGCTGTATTGCTTACATCCCACCCAAGAGCCTGACTAAGCTCCCTATTTCTAATAAAATATTAAAGTGCAATTTGTCAAGGAAAAGGGGGAACTCTGAAAAGATGCATTAAAAATATTTGTTATATACACGCACATATAAATGGAAGAGAACCACAATGCTGCATTTGACCAACTTGTCCAAAGCCAAAGGGATAACGAGCAACTTATTGCTGATATCTGAAAAATGTTGCGTTCAAAAGGAGTTTAGAATAGTATCAAATTCTAAGAAGGATTATGTCTTCCTTGCCCAAAATGGTGAGCCCACTGTGCAGGTCAATCTGAAAAACAGCTGAAAGCTCAGTTGTGGTAAATATGTATATGAGTAGCCTGCAGTCTGATATTGCTACACCTTCACCTTACCAATGTTATTCCTAAACGCCAGAGAAGCAAGTATTTACAGTGCAAGCCTATGCATACCAACTCAGAAGGAAGCACCGCTGTTTTCAATGGGACTTACTTCCTGGTAACTGTGCATAGGACTATAGTCTTGGTACTCATTTCTGTGCATTTAGGTTGGGTTTTTCCTGGTGCAAATCTGCAACACGCCAAGCAAACACAGACATGTATATGTAGCCTACACCATCTACATTGCAGACAATTGCAACCATCAGTGTGACTGTTAATATTAGTTTGGAAGTATGTCATTACTAGTGTGATTCTGCAGTCCCATTCTTCTGTAAACTGGTACATTTTGTCACAGGACAATTCAGAAGTGCTTTGGCAAATATAACATCTGCATTTTGATCCATTAAAAACCTTTGGTGTCAACACTACATTCCCCTCCTCTTTAATACCCTGTTTCAATTTCTTTTGTCTCACTAATTATATTGGCTTTAAAGCTTCTCATCAGGACAGTGTCCAATCTATACCAAGCAAACCAGCAACCCTATGGGTTCAAAAATACGTATTTCCCCATTGCTTGGGTCCTCTCCAAATACTGCTTGGCAGTCCCCATTTCAGACCATGCTTGGTTTGTGGGGCTTTTTGGTTCAGAGAGGGGGGAAAAGACTTTATGTTTTACAATGCCTTTTGCCACAGGTATTGCAAAAAGGGAAAGGGCTCCCTTTCCCAATGAAGTTCCTTACTGTTAAAAGGAAAAACCTGGCATACCTTTCAACATTTCTTTAAAAGGTCACACCTACTCTTACTTCTTAAAGGAACATTGTACTTTCCTGTGCAACTGGCAGCCTATCAGCACCAAGCCAATGATCATGGAGGCATCTTACCTCTCTTATGATCCATTTTGGTTGAATATGCATGGATATCTCAAGGAATATCAAAACAAGGCTATAGTCAATCGTACAAAGTCAACTCTGCATAACCATGGTGGTACTGGCCTTATATATCTTTAAGCCTTCTGTGGCTTTTTTATCTTTGCTATGATAAAAAAAAAACATCTGTCAAGGCAATGTCACTGGAGTAACCATAGTTCTACGATGTACTCTGTCCCAAGTTGTGGCTTGCATTCCCCTATCCACAGCATCTCATTTCCCCCACTACATTGCCAGTAACTATTTTTAGAGAACATAAAGCCAATTCTCTTCTAAATAATGCTTGAAATTATCAACATGGAATATTAAATGATCCTGTGTCTTCTCTGATGCAGGTCACTGAAGCATGGTATGCATAGAGAACATTTATCTACATGACTTACACTGAACTCAAACATGTCCCTTCCCTATACAGTCCTTCTTGTGAATACTGTTCACATGACAAAAAGGTGAACAGCTTCATAAAAAAACTAACTAGGTTCATAGAAGAAATTATTCAACAGCATTTTACCTTGGACTAGTTTAGTACCTACTGTAGGGTGATTCAGAAGACAGATGCTTGTTTTTACTAATCCTTTGGCATCCTTTATAGAATGGGTAAGACGTGCTGGGAGAGATTACAGGTTAGAAATATTCATAATAATGTGAGACTTGGTCAAATGCATCCCAGCCCTGAAAATACTATTAGAAATGAAAAAGACAACACAATTCTAGAGCAGTTTTTGAGACCAAGAAAAACTACGGCCAATATACTATCACATGTAATGACCTAAGGGCACTTTTCACATGATTAAGATTTTTCAGCTGGCTTATTTAACACATGCATATTTACTAATTATACACATGCATACTATAGTGAGTCCTTTGGAATATCACTACACCCCCACCTATTAGACTTCTATTGTTTTGCTGTATTTTGAGCCATTTAAAACTAACAGAACTGGGATTGTCATCTCCCTGACCCTTGCCTCTACTTAACATGCAATATTCTCATTGCAATTGCATGCTTACCAACACTAACCAGTTTCCTGCCTCAGTCATAAAATCTGTGTATATGTAAAGTTAATATCTCAAATATGATACTTATCTTTGAAGAGGAGGCTAACAAACTATTGGTACTAAATAACAAAGCTACCAGTACAAACTGGAATAACAAGGGCAAGTCCCAGCTCACATGATGTACAGGCCTGATCCTAAGCTTGGAACTTGCTTACACCAAGTTCTGGTGATCAAAAAATAATTCTGATCACCAATGCATGGTATAAGCAGATTCCAAATTCAGGATCAGGACAGTACATTATTAGGGGGCTTGCCTCTGTATTTCCAGGACCATAAAGTTTGTTGCTAATCAGACCAACGTCTGAATTTCTTCAGTAGTCACCAGAAGCCTCGTTATAGATTCTTCAATATATTACCCAAAAGGAGACACTTTGCACATAAGCCAGAACTGATTGTTTACTGTGAACAAATAATCAGCATTACTAGTGCATATGGTTCTTTTGTTCCTCCCTTCACACAAGCAGATAAAGCAAACTAGAAATGGAAAGTTTTACATGACGTCCAAAGCTGGTGTTCCTAAAGAGGCTACGGCTCATAAGCAAACAACAAATCCAGGTTTCTATTTCTGGCTTATTTTCCTGCCTGTGAAAGAGAGAAGCCAACAAGTTTGTAAATCAGTATAAAGCTAATTCACAGTAAACCAAGGTAAGTCAGTAATTCTGGCTAATCATTATGTGGAAAAAGGGCCAGTGACCCTTTCATTTATGGTAAATAAAGTATCTATTTTTCTGCCTTGAATGTTGAACTTAATTTGAGCAAGATGCTCAGTACATGGTTTATAGAAACACAGAAACAGAACAAGTCAGAAGAGGCCTCCTGGGCCATCTAGTCTGACCCCCGGCTCCAGGTGGCTCCACTCATGACATGCCTACCATGTGCATGTCCAGCCTATCCTTATTTTCAGAATACCGTTTTTATAATTTCAATTATAGCAGTGATACAGAGCTGTGACAATCATGAACTACATGCACACATTAAGACATTTTTGCAAGGGAAGAAAAATAAAGCAATCCCAACATCTCTTACAAGATAACATCAAGCATGGGCTGTATCCACAGCTGCCACCTTCTCCACTAGCTTCTTTGTATAGCAGCTGTACGGATGCACAGAAATTCAATAGCCATTTTTTTCCAAGCATGAAAATGCAGCAATGGGAAAACTGAACTAACTGTATGTCTGCCTTGTCACACAGTTACTAAAAAAAAGGCACCAGAACCCTGCTAGAGACTGGTGGGTAGGATAGGGCACACAGAGTCAAATGCAAAGTCACTGGGCACATTGGAAAAGGATAATAGAGGATAGTTAGGCATAGCCCTAAAGAACATGTTATTGGGCCCTATCTACGTATGACAGAAACCCCTTTGGAAGTCAAAATAGTTGCCTGTTGGTTTGTCAGTGCTGCCATCAAATTATATGCACACATGAAACCCACTGTAACTATCTGATTTAAAATTAGATAATCTTGTAATTTATTGGAATTTATGTGAATCCTCAATTTAAACAGATAAGATTTTAGTCATTTGGTCTATTTTTCGTTTCACAGCAACATGTTATTTTGCCTCAGAAGATTTTAATTGAACACTTTGGATGTTTTTAATTGCTGCAATGGTTTTTAATTTGTTTAAACATTTTGTATTTAATGTTATGCTTTTTATTGTATTTATACCACTTTTTAAAATAAATTCTTGTTATAATTTGTTGTTACCCAGAAAGCTTTGACTTTGAGCATGGGAGTGGAAAGAACAAGTGCTGGGCTCTTTCTCAACATAAAACCAGAATTGCTAGATAGTATTCCAGCCACACACTACTTTGGAATCATTTAATCTCACCAGCAGCAAGCCTCTTTCTCCTTGTAACTAGACACACTCCAATTTCAATGTACTCCAAACCAAACTTGAAAGCAGGGAGGGGGAACACCACACAAAATCTCTTTTCAATAGTAAAATTCACATAACTGAAAGCGCACTGACCTGTTTCTCAAAGCTATGTATAGTTAAGACACTGAATTGAACTACCAAAAAGTGGGGTAGTGGGGGAAGTATTTCTCTCTAAGGCTGATGGCCTGGTACTTAATATATACACATATTAATAAGACTTCCTTTCACATAAGTAGCTTGAGCTAGCCGACTGAATTTTGAAAAAGGCAAACAATGATTTAGAGATGTTAAAGCAGAATTAAAGTATCCTTTCCCTTCTAGCCTCACACAGCTGGAAGGATTCAAATCAACTGGGAAGATGCCAACCCCTTAATCACATTCAAAAAACCGTATGGCTAGAAACTGTTTTAGACAAGGATAGATGATAGTTACCAAAAGTCATGTGATTTTTAAAATTTAAAGACCATGCACACTTCAGATAGACACTGTCCCTGTCATGTTAGCAACCAGTGTTTCCTGCTGCATGGAATCAATTTTTTTTCTCCTTACCAGAGGTAGAGGAGTGAGGAGGAGAAAACATGGTTTTCATATTGTCTTGGAAACAGCACAGAGGACCCATCTGCACTGCAGACTTACAGCACTCTAAGTCATTTCTAGGGAACTGCAGACAGGCTTATGAGGATTTTCACCATCACCCCATATTAGACTTCAGTCCTCAGGTTTGTGAGGGAAGCTTAGATAAAATGATATAGTTTTATACAATTAAATCACATAAAACTGATACAGTTTTGTAGTGTACATATGGCTATAAAGGAAGAAATAGAAGGAGAAAACAGAAATTAGGTGACAAAACAGATGTTTTTCTTTCCAAAGGTTCCTGCTATGTTAAACATGTAGCTAAATGTGGCAAATCTATGAAGGCAAGACTTCATACGTACAACATATTAAAAAGGGAATGAATACATTAGAAGTCCCACCTGCAGTTAATTTATGAAAAATGAAAAAAATTATAGCACAACCTTTTATAGATCCATATTGCAATATGGAGTAGACCCAGGATCCCCAACTTTCTAATTATTTTCTACAATTTGTTCTGTAGGAGTTAAAATGTGAAGCATTTCACAACATTTTTCTTTGCTAACTTATGAAGATCAGCATAGCATTACGGTCACAGCTACAGAGTCTGGTCAATAAGCTGCCAGTCAACTGCCAACCGATTCTGCACATTCAGCTTTTGCAATACAATTTGTTGACTGTAGGTACCCAACATTATTAGACAGAGGGCATTTATTTCTGTAAAACAGCTTCATGGTATGGACTAGCTTTGTCCAATCTGATGTCCTCTGGATGAGTTGCACTGCAACTCCCATCTTCCTCAATCAGTATATTGACCATGCTGGCAGAAAATGATGGGAGTTGCAATCAAATACTCTGGGGGCACAGGTTGGAGAAGGCTAGTACAGCCCCACAAGCCAGATACTAATGGCCACAAAAGTTTAAACAGCTGCAGTAGAAAATGTCAGGAGAAAGACAATACCTCTGCAAAATGTGAAGCACAGGTGTTTGATGGTTCTAGCCTTCTGGAGGGTTAGACTAAAATTATTCCAAATTACCCACACATATATAAACGTTGCTATTTTTCCCTGTGCTCAGATTATTCTGAGAAGAGACCATCAAGTGTTTAACATTTTCACCAGGTCTCACAATAAGAGTTCAGCACTGAATCAAGCTCTTGATTTGCTAAAGCTGTCTGGAAAGAGATGTTTATAGTGAGGCAGCCTAGATGTCATGCTATTCTGTAGTCTGATGGAAAAGACAAAAGCAGCCAGAATAGATTTAGGAAGAGAATTCCAGTATATCACACCTACATCCAAAAAAAACAGATCCACTTTTGTTAATGTGAATAACATGAGTATGATGATTTACATCTTCTAACCCAACATCAGCATCCCTCCCTTTAAGAGCTCTGGAAAGAAAAATCCACAGTAGTTTCACTGCTCTTAAAAAGGCAGAAAACATCTCTAAATTGGCAGGTGACATCTTGTACAATATTACAGTGTTTCACCAGAACAAAGTTCCAAGCAGACTATAATATCCACAAAGATTTTAAATGTAGCTTTTCTAAATCTCCAGTCTACTGTAATTTTACACACCCAAGGAGAGAAATCTATTTTTTGTGTGCAAGAAAGGAGTCAGTAAATAAGGTGGTGAAAGATGCACTACAACATCTTATGCTCCATCAGTTTCTCTTCCAATCTCTAGCCCTAAGCAGGTTTACTTAGAAGTAAGTCCCATTAATTTCAGCAGTACTTACTATCAGGTACAGGTTAGGATTATGGCCCTACTTTCTAACTTCCCAACCTAAGTTCCCACAAGAAGCTATATTTTCTGCAGTTTTCATTTGTTTAAGCAAACATAAAGAGCACGCGCACGCACACACAGAGAACATATGCTAAAGCTATACAGTTCCTTGATACAATTCCTTTAAAAACAATGCAAAAAAACTCACAAAGAAGTCGTAACACAAGTTCCAAGGCATTGAAGTGCAAGACAAGGCTCCATGGAACTGCAGGCACCTTCTCCCTGGCATAAGTGGGGAACTTCACAGAAAGACACCCTTACTTGTATAGAAAGACATTTACAAGGACCAGAGGTTCATGGATTAGAACAGGAGGGATAATACTTTGAAGGGCACTTTATCCCTTTAACAAATTAAAAGCAGAAAAAATATAAGCCTTAGATTTGTCTTCCAAACCCTACTCTTTTCTACCCCAATACTTCTGACCCCTCATTTCAATCAGACAGGGCAATGGTGATCTCCTCATGGTCTACATTCAGAAGCACCAGTAGCAACTACAGTTCTGATTCTATAGAAGAATCCATCCTCCTCTCCATCACCGACCCTGCTTCTGATCTAACCAAGCCACTGCTCCAAGAGTTTTATTAAGATACCATTATGGCTTCATACAAGTCAATGGCAAAACTCCCTTCATCTTAAATAGGAGCAGAATTTCTTGCAGTGTTCCTTGAATCATCCTAAGTCCTGCAAATATTAAAACAGAGCTTCTAAACACCCTCTTAATAGTTTGTATACCCTGATATCACCACACTGATAACTAGCAAAGATGTCCAAGCTGGACTGATTGAAGCAGTTATCTAGGCATTCAAAATAGGAAGAACCTTCAATCGTTAACATACACAGAAATGCAATTGCTAGGCAGTTCAATCTTTTAGTCAAGACATGAATCCAAAGACAATGGTCATGTAAAGCAACAGTCCATTAGCTGCTAACCATAGCAGCGTTGTTGTTGCTCAGAATTATTCCATCAACCCATGAAACCAGCATCTCCTTCAGTTTTGGTTTCTGTATTCTAGCTGCTGCTCTTCAGTGCTTAGCTCTACAATGCATACTCACCAATGCACACTGAACTCCAGCCATCCTCACGATCCTCACTAAACTCTTATTTAGCCCTATAGGTCCTTCACATCTCTGAAGACAGATAGGCATGACCATATGCTACCCAATGGGGATCAAATCTCCCAGCCACCAAGAACCTTTTATATGTCCAATTAAAGAATTCTCCATATCTGCCACAGAATCCCTTGGCATTGCAGCAGATTCTGGAGCACACCCTTAACTTTATGCACAATGACACTCGCACCTTTGGGATTCTATGTAAACAAAGTACATGCTCAAACACCCAGACATTCTTGTGGCTACGCATTGCAGGTGTAAGGTGGTAGAGCTCATTATTGAGAAGCCCCTGTTAATCTGTTAAGCTGAAGGTTTTCAAAGGGGGGGGGGACCTGAAACCCACTCACCTACATCATGAGATGAATAATGGCAAGGAGCACTTATTTTGTGCCAGTATGCCTCTAATAGTAGTTCCTTGAGCTTCTGCTTCTAAAAAAGACTGAGTAGGGGAAGCACCAATACAGGTGTTCCCTTGAGCAATCCAAATAAGCTCATCTGTGTACCAATGGTATAGGTAGTCTCCCAAATTACAGTGTTTGTGGAAGCACTGTGGACCCCAGTGGGCCACATCTTATACAGTACTGGTAAGCAAGGAAGCATCAAAACCAAGAAATCAGCTATCCAAAGATGGTGAGGATTGCTGCTTTCACAGGTGTTACTGAGAAGTAAGCTGACCAGGGAAGCCATTTGACCAAGGAAAATCTACACTGAAACATGGAAGAATAGAGGGATAACTGGCCTCTTCCCTATTTCTAGACACTCACCCCCATCCTTACTTCAACTGCAGAAATGCCATTACACATCTAAGGCAGGGATGCAGAACCTCTTTTAGCCCAAAGACCAAATTTCATTTTGAAAAAGCTCTCAGGGACCACAAAACATGCCAACATACTGTAGCTTAAATCTTTCACAGGCAGGAACTAAGCTTCTAGAATGGGGTAGGGAAACTGCACAAAGGCCAGGAAGCTACCAAAGAATTGGTAAGATAAGGAGAGGGGGTGGGTTCACACTTGGAGACTTACAGTGAAGAGAACCAAGACTCCAAGAACAACAATTTTGGCCTTTAGGCCTGAGGTTCTGTATCCCCAATGTAAGGAATGGAGGTTCTTTTACAACACACTGTGAGTAAACATCTTTGCCAGTGAAAAGAGTTTCCGTTTCCCAGACAAACAAAGCAACAACAGACAAGTAATATATCTATATTCTCTCTCTCTCTCTCTCTCATATATATATATATATATATATATATATAGTAATAAATGAAGGAAAACACAGGCACCCCCACATTGCCTTTCTTGTTTTTGCGTATTTGAAAGTGGAGTAGGAAAGAAAATAAAGAGTCAGAGAGACAGTCAAAATAAAATCAAAATCCTCTGTAAACATTTGTGAAGGGTTTTTTTTTTTTGGGATTTTGCTTATTAAATAATACAATTAAAAATCACCCATCCTGGAAAAATTTGATTGGGAACACAGAAACACAAAATACAAACACGAATATCTCCTACACGTGGAAAGAAAAACAAAACAGAAACAAACAGAAGGGAAAGGAAAAAAAATGAAATAAAAATGAAATTTCAGAACTGGATGCTCCGGTCTCGGAAGAAGCCCTCTGCCATTTGTGCTTCTCTGAAAGTCACGGTAATGGAGTTTGCTGTGATGTCCGTCACTGTCACTTCATTTGGGGGCAGGGCAGGGCTCCAGGTTAGGTTGCCTTCTGCTGCCTCTGAGCTCACTGTGGAAGAAGAAGGAGGGAAGATAACAACATGTGAGGGAGAGAAGAAAAAGAGTGACGAAACCAACAGATAGCAAAGATCTTGTTCTCTCATGAAGCATTTCAGCCCATGCAGAACAGACACATTCAACGCCAGCGGGGGGACAGAAGGACAAGAAAACACAATTGGAAAGAAGCTGCATGTCCACAGTCACACACACTCACAAGAGACACATGGTTTGTACCAATGGTTGTTCTTTGAGTAGTTCCAAATAGCACCTGAGGTGCACTTACATCCGCACCAATCTATTCCCAGTCCACCTCCATACCCCCCCTCCCCAAATCTTTAAAAAGAATATCAGTAGACTACTGGATTGAGATCCCAACCGTCTATGAACTAGCAAATTCTCTTACTTAAAAGGGACAGTGTAGCACTGGACTGAAATTAAGTTTAGTTTATGTAAGAAAATACCAAAAAGGTACTTTCCAGCCTCTTCCATGAGTACTTTGCACAGCAAGAAAAACTGGAATTCCCCACAAGGGAAATTAAGAAAGAGCTGGCTATTACTCTTTCAGAGCCCTCAAAAGTGTACTTCCTTTTAAGGTCAAACAAGTGGACTGTTACATTCTCCCTCTTTAAACACATTCAATCTTTATTTCATCAATATGGCCACAGCAAATGCCACTCACAATGACTGCCCACCCGTTGGGCCTTAAACAAACAAACAAAAAAAGAGAACAGCAGCAATAATCCCCATACCAAAATAGATACATGGAGGAGAGGGGAGGGAAGCCTCCATTTTCTATTACTTTACCTGTTCTGCACCCTCCTGTCCCACCTGGGGATGCACTGTGGGCCCTGTAACTGGGTATTCCTGGCTTCTGTCTCAGATATCCGAGGTGACTCTACTCTCACCTGGGAAAGACTCCATTCTCCCCGACACTACCCGGAATTCCGCATGTGCACACACGTTGAAGGGAGAATAAAAAAAATAAGGTTTACATATCTCTAGTAGTTTCAGCAACTACACCTGAAGGGGCTTCACAACACCTCAGTGGATGGTTCCAAAGGACTCAGAAAAATGAAGCAGCCCTCTGGAATTGTTAGAGTAGGTTTTTTAATTGGCAGCCAGAAACAATCTAACTGCATTTTGTTCTTTCCAAAACATCTGCATAGACATCTCAAAGTCCATTTTTACAGAAGTAGTACTCCTTTAAGACTGCCTCTTTGTTAAAAGAGTTTTGTGCTACTTAAGTTGTGCAATGTGTCACATTAAGCATTCAGGTTTGCCTACAGCCAGGATTATCCCTCTAACCCTCACTCTAGCAACTCTCTTTTGCTCCTTCCAGCTAACACTGTATCCTCCTTTTGAAGCTAGCAAAATTGCCACACCCAGGCAGCCACTGTAGATATGCTGCTCCTTATGAAGTGAAACCATATACACCTGCTCTGTGGAACAAATGCCCTTTCCTCCCCATAAAAGATAGTCAATATGTTGCTCACAAATTAAGGTGTTCTTCTCTACCCTCACGGCAATCATTTTGGCCCCCAGTGAAGACAGTTCTATTTTCCAAATGTTTTAGTAGTTAAATAGGGTTGAACTGAGTGCCAGATTGGGGGAAGGTAGAGTAAATGCTGTTTCTGTCCTTTTAGGGCTCTTTCAAAGATCAGGAAAACCAGCAAGATAAAGATTTTCCAATGCATAGGCATGCGCTATCTAATGCATGTACAACTTTTCCTTAATTACTCCCTGCACTCTTGAGGATATTCTATACAATGTTACATCCACAGAAACATTGCCTCTGTTTAGCTGATGGGGGTCACATTACAGTTCCACTTTTGCAGGGTGGTTTGAAGAAACTATCAAAATTCTGAAATAGCTGGAGAAAAAGAAGGCAAACACAGAGATAGCTAAATAAGAAGGCTCTTACATGGTATTGCCATGTGCATGCTAAGCCACTGTATGAAGAATCAAAACACTGGTCCATCTTGCCCAGTATTGTCTACTTGGACAGAGAGTGGCTCTCTCCAAGGTTTCAGGCAACAGGTGCCCTACATAACTACGTCTTATGTCTATTCCCAGCCATAAAAAAAAAAGTTCTACATGAACTCATTCCTTGAAAAGCTCTCATTTCAAGGCCAGGAGGAGGAAGGGAGAATACCTGTGCTGGAACAGATATTCATCTTATGAGGCAACAGCAGGCCAGGTGCAGTCTTCCATTCAGTGACTATCAAGCGAATGGGTGGTTATGATTAAGACTGTGTGTATATGTGCACACTCCATGGTTCTGCAGTCTGGTATTGCAAGCAAAGCATAATATACTGAGAATCTCTGTTTATATAGTTTTAAAAGCAAGTTATCTAGGTGTAAAGGATATAAAGGTAGGAGTTATCATCCTTTGACAATGCTTGACAAAGCCTCAGAGTAGCCTTCCCTGGTGCCCTCCAAATATGCTAGACTGCAACTCACAGGCACACTGGAAGCTGCCTTTTATAAAGATCAGAGCCTTGGCCCATCAGAACAGTATTGACGACACAGACTGGTGAAGGTTCTCCAGCCTTTCCGGCTGCAATTTTTTCAGCCCTACCTAGAAACAATGGGGATTGAACCTGGGGAACTTCTGCATGCGAGGCAGGTATTCTACCCGAGTTATGCCTCTCCCCCATTTGAATGATGGGAGCAATGAGCTATGTTCCCTCACAGCTGGAAATGATCAGAATTGCAGGTCAACATATTTGGAGAGTACCATGCTGCAGAAGGCTGTTTTAGAAGCTAGAATTCTGTGTTTTGAGAAAGATCTTCAAGTGCCAGAAATGGAACTACATTAACTGGCTAAGATCCTTGGCCTATCCCAAGGCTAAGAGAAGTAGAATAAATTGTCCAAAGGAAGCCAGTTTGTCTCATTAGGAAGATATATAAACACAAGCTGGAAAAATGTAGCTCTCTTAGCATACACTCCAGGTCAGCATTAGAATATTTCTTTTCAAATCAGAGCATGCACACAGCCTTTGCACGGATGGCTCAGTGAGATGCAAACAAAAACCATTCAGCTGTTTAACAAAATGCACATGTCTGATGTAAAAAATAAACTTTTCAAAAACATATTGTTTCCTTATTGAACTACAGATGTCAGATACATCTATTTATATAACAAAGCATGCATGTGGCATATACCAGTCCTGGTGTCCCCTGAAGAAGTGCAATTGTTGTAGTCTGGTGAAAGCACAGATCAACCTTCCCCAGCCTGGTGCTATCCAGATGTGTTGGGCTGCAACTTCCATGATCATGCTGGCTGACAATTATGGGAGGTACAGTACCGTCCAGCACAACTGGAAGGCATCAGGTTGAGCAAGCAATTCTGTTAGCTATCTGTTGGCTTCTGTTATCACCTCAACCAACTCTTCCCAGGGATTTCCGTAGAGAATAAAACTAGTTTATGTCTAACACTGAGGCACCACAGAGCTCCCATTGGGTTAAGTAGGGGAAACTCCTCTATCACAGTTGTAGCTTCCTCCAGTGCTTTTAATGCTGCATTGGTTATCAACAGAAGGAACCCAGGCAACAAGCATAGCTGAGCTCTTATTGAAGTCCCCTGCAGATCAAAGAGGCAGAAGCACAACCCGAACTGTCTCAAGAAAGAGATGCTCATCCCATGGCAAATCTGAGCTACCACCATTGTTTGGCAGGGTAACAATATTAGCACAGCTAGTCCATCTGGGTTAGCAAGCCAATGGCACTGGGATCAACTGCTTAGCATGTAGATTACAGTTGACTGTTTCACAGATTCAGACTGCCTGTGACCCACCCAACAGTAAGTCTGGAACTACCGCTTTAAATCAGCCAGCAGAAGGCTATTTCAGGGGTTGGAAGCAAAAGAAGGGGTTTTCCAGTGACATCTAAAGAGTCAATCTCAGATTACATTCTCGGAATGCAGCAGCTAAGGAGGAAAATTGAAATGTCCAGCAAGCAAGATGAGATACTTTTGGCATAGTTGGAGATGCTTCTGAACCTTACCCTCCTTGCTGGCGGGTTGTGTAGCATCATCCCAGTCACTGGGAGTCTGCCTGTCCTCTAGCGCCACTGGCTCCTTCAGGAAGAACTCCCGACGGCGGTTCCTGTTCTCCAGGCTTGACATGCGGGTGAACTTCTTCCGCGAAAGGCGCAGGTACTTCTTGTTCTTGCTCTGTTTCCGAAGAGGGAAGGGCAGGACTGCTCCCCCACTCTTTTCGGGCAGATCAGGTGGCCCTCCCTTGGCTCCTGCCAGGCTGTTCCCTCCTCCCCCAAACCTCCGTGACAGAGAAAAGCAGAGTTTCTCTTTCCCTTTGTGTGCGCTCCTCAGGTCCATGCTATACAGCCTCTGCCAACAGAGAAAAGAACTCTCAGCTTCACCATGCCAGGATCCAGCTGCACAGCTTACGCAACTACCTGCAGCCACTCCCAGACCAGGAGGGTGTCACAGTCTATGACAGGGGTCCCAAACTCAACTTACCTGGGGGCCGCTGGAAGTAGAGTCTGGGTGAGGCTGGGCCGCATCAAGTATTCCACCACCACGGTGGTGGTGGGCCGCTCATCCCGTGGTGGGCCGCAGGGCCCCTCCCCCGTGCCCCGCCCACGCCGGCAATTGGCCCGCGGGCCGCGAGTTTGAGACCCCTGGTCTATGAGAACTGCTGAACTGGGAGCTGGCCAGCTGCCAGCTCTGGCCCTTGGAGTCCTCAGGTGGCCATGGCCTTTCCAGCTCTTGGGCAGTTTTTCCCTCATTCCACAAAGCTGAAACACTTCCCCTTTGTCTTAACATGGGAAATCTTTAAGCTATAATATGCAGTCTTTTTGGTTCACCCCTTTTGCCTTGTGTCCAGCCCACCACCAAAATGCAGCCTCCAAATGTTTCTCCAAAATGGAATTAGACTCTTGGGCTGAAAGAGAGTCAACACCCATGCCATAAGGCAACCATCCAGATGCTTGGGATGATAACTCCCATTATCACCAGCAAGGACTGCCATTGGCCTGTTCGGCAATGATGATGGAGGGAGCAGGAGAATGTTACTCTAAAGACTCGCTTGATCAGCTCTATAGCATGGTATAAAAACATTTAAATAAATATTTGTATGCAAGCAAAAACTATAATGGGGAATGACTAAAACAAAAATAATATTTAATCCTGCCTCTGAATGTACAACTATGGATGGGACATCTTTTCTAGCAAAACCCTAAGCTGACATTTGGAAGGTTAACTTTGTTTTTAAATTGTGTTAAGGGTACTAGATCATCCTCTCACAACTTCAGTCTCCAGAAGAAGATTGACTATAACTCTGATCATCCCTGATTGTTTACTAAGCTGGTTGAGGAAGATGAGAGTTGTAATATAACATAATTTGAAGGACCAAGGTTGGAAAAGGCAGCACTGGGATAAGCAATACACTGGATCATTCAGCAGATTTGGGATGTTACCTGCAGTAACAGACGCTTGGGTTTTGGACCCCTCTTCCTGTAACCTGAGGCACGGTCTCTCTCTTCCCTGAGGAGACAATAGACACTCAGAAGTTTCATTTGTTAGCAAAGCCCAAATGCCAACAAGATCTTTTGCACACTTGTTCATCTGTATTACTCAGGCCAGCCACAGAGCTGATGCTTGGGCAAATATAAATTATAGTAAAGAGCGTTTCATAGAACTTGAGATTTTCCATATCCCTACAGTCTGATACAGCTACATTAAAAATGGCATATACAGTATATACTATATAAACAATACACCTATAGTTATTCACACACAAAATTTACAATATTTGCTGAAAATTTCACTAGTGCTCTAAGCCCTTTCCAAAAAATGTGAGGGTGGGGGAGTCAGTAGTGAATGGATGTCCCTGTCATGCTAGGCAAGATAAAAATACTGTACTCCCAAACTATGTTATAAGACAATATGTAAATACCACTGACCTACATCTATCCTTGGGACTACCCATCAATGCAAAGATCTAAAAAAAAAAAAAATCCGTCTGTAGTGCTCATGTGTATTTCCCTAGTCATATGTAGTTTGGGCCTTAAAATTTTCCAGACAGGAATATCATCCCCTCTCCCCATTACATGTGAAGATACACAGGAAAGCTCTTGAATAATTCAGCTATACTGCAAGGGTCTTGATTTTGCTGGGTGCCTGCTCTGTGGAGTACACAGGTCTACCTGTTTTGGCAAAGCAGGGGAAAGCTTTGTGACAATTAGGTCCATATTAAGCCTCTTGGATGGAGATGCAAGATAGTTTGGTTTAAACTTCCCAAAAGAAAGAAGAAATATTCTTACTTCTCTTCATAAGCCATCACCAGGCGAGGGTCAAGAATGTGATCCTCCGGCTCCCACGTGCTGTATCTAACATTAAGAGAAAATAATCAAATTGTTTCTGATAAGACTTGGCTAGCATTGTGAAAGTTCTAGCACCTTCTCTTTCACTGACTCAAGCCTACCACCCACTCAATGAATACTGGAATCATTTCCTTTCCTAATAAGTTAGACTTATTATTACTACTAATGTGACTACTACTAATACTGTTTTTTCGCTTCTCTTCTACTTTCATGCATTGGGTGGATCAAATGAGAGTAAACATTCTCCTTGGAATAGGAGAATAAACCATCTGTCCATGGACTTCACCTCAGTCTTAAATCCATCTTTATTAGCCAACAGAAAGCAGCCTTTCCACCAAACACAGAGCAATTTCCTGCTGCAATAACCCTAAGCAATGTGTTGCTTATTATTTAAAGCAGACTACAATTATAGTCCAGTAAGATTTGAAAATAACTGGATTTTACTGCCCATGTGGTTAATGATTTTAGAGCTGACAAGTACAACTTGTTATGAAGATTTTTTTTCACTAGTTATAAACTCTGAACATGAGATGTTTGGAAGTATTTTTAATCTTCCCTTCTATCCATCATGCATCAAAAAGTGGCTTGGTAAAAGAAGACACTCCCTCTTGGTAATTCAGCTAAGACCAAAACAAAAAATACCAACCCCCCACCCCAAAAAACAAACAGTAGACACAATATTCCATAGCCCAAAGGAGCTCCCAGAAGATACCATTTTGGCCTTAAAAAGGATACATGCCTAGGGGAACAAAGGCAGGCACAAGTCAACCAGAGAGACCTCCCTTGGCTAAGAGTTCTATACCCTTGGTACCAATTCTGGCAAGGGTGGAAAATTTGCTGTCCTTGGTCTAATTTCATGATGAGATCAGTTCAGACCTCTAGCAAAAGTAGTCTGTGTCATCCCTGGCAGCCCAATGGGTGGAAAAGAATGGGTTTTGCCTCTGATCTTGTGCACTGTCCTGTTTACTGGTAACATGCACCCCACACAACAGTGAAGGAATGCAGTCCTTGACCAAAAAAATACCATCTTGCACAACAGAAAAGCCTATCCTGTGGGGCCACCCTCCCACCATATTTTATATGGCAGAGTCACATGCTGCAGGGCCTTGGAAGATTACCTGAGGGGGAAATCCCATGCCTGTTTTAACAGAAAAAAGGCCTACTTTTCCCAGCATTCCCCAGCTGGTTGTGTTGGCTGGGGCATGTTCGGAGTCATAGCTCCTTTTTCTGTCTAAACATGCAGAGGACTTTGCCTCAACTGTTCAAGTAAGAACATAATGAGAGAAGGTTATCCTTGAGATAACCCACTCCCCAATTATTTAGGGCTGTAGAAAGGTCATAGCCTGCATCAATTGGGCTTGAAAAGCCAACTATAAGCCCATAGAGATGATGTGAAAATTGCAGTTATATACTCCACGTGGCTCATCCTTATCTTAGCCAATGCAACTGTGTTTTGGGCCAAGTGATGTTTCCAAACATTCTTTAAAAGCAGTCCCGTGTACAGTGTGTTACTATAAACTTGTACAGACTAAGTACTGTTACAAGTATCACTACCTTGTCTAGAAAGGCTGAAGCTGGTAGAAAACACAACCTGAACAGCTCCATATTAAAGAAACCCCCAAACGGTGAGTTTAAGTCATAGGAGAAAGGACAACCTTACTTAACACAAATAATATAATTAATCCCAGGTTAGCAGTATTTCCAACCAACTGCATCTCTAACCTTGTGTTTGTTTATGCCCATTCAGTTTACCACTCAAACTTATTTAAGCCATACTGGCTTGTTTGGTTGTGCAAAATGGCCCAATGGGTATTTGGGGAAACTGTGGGAATACCTCCTAAAATGCATGTAGCAAAGAACTGGGGGTGAAATAAACAAAAACAAAAGCTCCACCAGAAGGGAAGGGTGGACAAAACTATCATGGCATAATGCAGACAAGAGCATAGGGAATGAGCGTTTTCCACATTCTGGATTTTGCATTTATAACTAATTCTCCTTGTACAGGTTTTTAAATAACTAAAATCATGAAGATATGATCTTTCTGTAGCAATAATACAAAATTATTCCTAATAAGTGAGCCTGATAAAATCTTAAAGGGTGTGGGGAATGACAAGATTCACATATGGAACAACAGTATGGATTAGGAACTAGGGAGCTGGACCTGGAAGGATCTTGGTTCCAAGCTCAACTCAATAGGCAAGTTACTTCTTTCCTTGTGAATGCTTTGCCAAACTAAAAAGTAGGATGCAAATATGTGAAAACTGATTGCTCAGCCTTGAGTTTCCTCTATGATGTGAAATGGAGATGCACATTGGCTTGATTCGCATGCCTTCCTTGAAGAAAAATGCAGCAGCAAAGTATTTTAGTTGCTTAGAGGGTTGGGGGATAAGGCATGATGTTAAATAACGCAATACATTTACTTCAGAAGATGTCTTCCACATCCTGCTCTGAGGGGAAAGGCAGGGTTATAAATAGCTACCTCTCCAGCTCCATTTTCATACATTCTTATGCCGTTTCCATTATTAGTCAACCTAATCTCTTCCCCCGCCCCTGCTCCCACTCTCTTCATTGCAGGGTAATGTAGGCACATCCACAGCCCAGCAGCAACATCGCCAAACCCCAAACTGCAATTTGAGCAATCAATGATTTGCTTTTCTACCTTCCTGCTGCATCAGGCATCTGTGTTACACAGTGCATGAAAGGAAGGCAAAGGATTCCTCGGAGAAAGGTAGCAGTGACAGTGGAGGTGGGGAAGAGATTTCTTTAAAAGAATGTCCTATGGGTGTTGCCTATTCCTCTGCAGTTCAGCGTCTTGCTTGACTGCAGTGAGAAAACACTGCATATAGAAAAACAGTGCTGTTCGTCACACACACAGGCACACGCACACACACACAAAACCCACACCAACACAGAGGGCCAGACTGCAGCAGAACTGCAGACCACGCATTCTGGAAAATACAAGTCACGTGACCATCTTCCTCCTTCTCCCCCTCCCTCCTGCACTTCAAACCCAAGTTGTAAACAAGCTCACAGCTGACTCAGAGCCATAACCCTTCAAATCTGTGGCTTCAATGGGTGGGGCATGCAGGCAGTTTTGGAAGAAGCACATAGATGATATGAAAAGGGAGGGGGAGGGGGAGGGGGAGGGGGAGGGGGAGAGCAAAGGAAAGAGAAGCCAAACAGCTTTTGAGCCTTTCCTCAAGCAAGTAGCAAGTAAGCCACATAGATAAAAGCAGAAATCAAGACTGAGAAGAGAGGAATAGGAACATGAGAGAACGGAAAGATGCAGAGATAAGTGCATCTTTACATTTGATGCTGCAAATTTTCAGTTGTGTGCAAAATGTCCATAAAACACTGAATGGGAAAAATACAAGAAAACAGAGCAGCAGTCAATGGGCAAAATAGTCAGGCAGTCCTTAGCATGAGTTCCAGTTTATATTGATAGTCTTAAGAAACCCTTTCCTCTTTTCCAATCCTAAGAAAGCAATGCATTCATTATACCCTAATTTTACAAGATGCTTCACCAAGGAGCTCAAGAAGGGATAAGTAAGGAAGTTGGTGGTGGACAAATACCAGAGCAATGATGGCAGGTGCTTACTTGCCACTAGGCATAATTTATCGCATGCCACTATGTTTCTGAAAAAAAACAGTGGGAAAGTATCATGAACTAGGAAACAAGAGTGCAGCCTTAATCCCAAAAGCATGAAGTGATTGTAATGAATATTTTAACTCCAAGCTTAGTCTTAAGCCATCCCACAGAAAATGTTTAACCAATAAGGGCTGACAACACCAGCATTATTGAATCCCACATGCTCTGTTAGTACTATGACAGAATGTATAGTCTGAGTATCTCTCTTCCCTGCTTGAGGGGCATGTTGTATGTACATGCATAACAAGGAGGAAGATACTGATAGATACATCCTAGCAGACCATTTGCCTATAACTACTGAGTTACATGAAGTGGTGCTGTAAGGCAGGAGTTTGGGGCATAAGTCAATGGCTCCACTCAGCAGAAGGAGCAAGCCCCCCAAAGACGACACAGCAGCAGTGGCTTGCTTTGCCATGCAATAGGTGCAATACCTCATATTACACTGGAAGAGGAGGAGGCTGTCAAACCATAAAGCCCAGAATCTATAAATTTACCTAACTGCATCAAGCACTATTATTAACCGGCAGCTCATCTCTTCCAATTACTTGTACTTAAACATTCCAAGTATTCCTATATACACAGTACAGTCCATGTGGGTAGAAAAATGAAGATACCTGAAAGCACTTTTTCTTTGCAGGAGCAGTATAGATAGATTTTACAGCTACATTAATCCTCCATGCTGTTGCACACTGCAAAGCAGGGAACACTTGCTCCCTATTGAGAAGCAGTTACCTCTACAGAGGCATTAAGCAGTTATAAACACTAGGCAGCAATCTTGCAGTTGTTTAAGCAATTTAAGATACCTGAGTGGAAGTTAAGCACCACTTAGTCACAAAAGAAATAACGAGCAGTTGATTTGGTTTCATCAAAGTATGGGGAAGAAGCATTTTGCAGCTAAATCTCTTTCAATACCTCACTGAAGGCTTATTGCCAGGCATCAGCAAATCCACTCACCAGCTAGCCAAGGGCAAGTGCACGGAGCCCTCCGATAAGAATCACAGATTTCTACCTCAGAGTTCTCATTTCCTTTGCAGTTTTTGATCAATTAAAGAGTCCCTCCTGAGAAAGTCCTGCAGTTTATTATCTTTTCCATGCACCACACAAGTGAAAGATGAGCTTGCTTCTCTCCTTCAAGTCCTCTGTGTATGACACAAGACTCAAAGAAGGGGGACAGAATTGCCAATGACCACAAACAACGGCCGGCTAGCAGACCAAGTAAGTATTTGTGGCTCCATGTGCTATTGTTCTACTATTACACTCCTGGAGTAACCTTAATGAGCGTATTCATTTGTATGATCCTAAAGGCTGCAGCAAAAATTTTCCTCCAGTGATGTCTTTTAAGACTTATGTTTAAATATGATATGGATTCCAGAACGAAAGGAACCACCTTCTCATTAACTAGTTACTTTCTGTAACCCTCTAAGGAACAGTATCTAAATAAGAGATTTAAGAAATCAATACTGCTTAGCTGACAGTACCAGAAAGGAAAAGCGTAAGTAAAAAGCAGTGTTACTTTTGGGATGGGGTCAACAGAAACAAACATGATAGATGGATAATTAACCAAACATATGCTTGCAAATATACCCCAAACTTACTTGGGGGGCCATCCTTTCCATTTCACCAGATATTCCACTTTACCCTATAGAAAAAGAAGAGGAAAGAATAACAAAATCAGCAACTTAATCAAACCGCACAAAAGAAGGTGAAATGACTAGGTCAGCAGAATGTGTGCTCTATGTCCACTTCCTCACACCTCTCCTTAGTGGGACACAAGCAATAAGCCAAATGTTTCCTTTGCAATCAGTGCACACCACGTGCAGAGGTCCCAAAAAACCTCAAGGATGACAAACCAGTAAATCTATACAGGGTGACTATGAATGCTTAGAAATGTCATTTTATATCTACACATACATATATAGATGCAAATTCAAGAAACTCTGAAGAATCTTTGGGTTGTTTGATATTTGCCTTCTTTTTCTCATTCCAGCTGCCATAAGCACCTCTGGAGTGTCATACATGCTCTCTACTTACAACATAATTGACTTCTTCTACATGGTGCGTTCCTATACAAACAACTGGACATGGAGCAGGAACGGCTCCTAGTGTGGCAGGCAGACCTACCTAAGGAAATGAAGGTAGCTGACAAGATGCAAGTTCCCCAGCCTCACCTTCCACACACAACATGCTGCCATTTGCTTGCAATGCAAAATATGAGCCTTCTACCACCAGCCCCGTCAGTTTAATTCAAGAGGCCATGTGCCCCTCTGACATGATCTGTAGGCCTGCCCGAAAGTGATGGTTTTTTAATTTTCCATCATACATGGATTGGTAAGGAAGGGCAATGGATAAATTCAACTAAACAAACAGTGTGAAGGTATAATAGGTTTGAGCTAATATTACATGACACTTCTACCTGGCTCTGCAGACATGATTTCCTAAACCAGAATGTGTTGCTGGCTTTCTAACAGGGCTATGAAGGTGCAAGAAACTAGGTGGAAACACTGGACTCCAAAACTGAAAGAGATTAATCTTGATTATAGCACCATGATCACCAGTTTGTGATACTGTCTCAGTTTCCTGAATCTTGCAAATACCAGGAAAAGGCTGCCTGGTTATAGGAGAATATCTGTATTCTCCTATGGGATCCTTGTAAATTCTGGAACTGAACACTTCCTATTTTACATTTATGGAAACTGTAAGTCATCAAAATGTCAATTGCATGTGCACAGCCTCTTGGCATTCAAACTGCCGTGCAAGCCCACCATACAGAAAAATAATCACTTTTCTACTGTAAGCCTGTGTTAGTTGACTTCTAAGAAATGGGCAATTTGTTTAAGGGCATCTCTGGAAGGCAAATGTAATATACAGGTAACCGGATGCTCAAAAATAATGAGCTAAATAACTTGACAGAGGTTAAACAAAACAGCACGAGGCTATGAAACAACATTCAGACCATCCAGTACCCATCTCAAATTTCTTTAATGCTTCTTGGCTCCACCAAGAGATGCAACCCAAGTTCCTCTTTCCACTTGCTCCACTCTACCTAAATATACAGTGGAAACATATGAAATGAGGGGAAACTCAAAGCATGTTCAAGGTGAGGGGAAGCGGTTTTTAAACAGTGGACATCCACTCTCCCTAAATAGCAAGAGTACCCTCTTCCACTATCCTATGGTTGCAAATACAGCTCCACGAGAGGCTATGGCTGCAACTGCAGACAGCCCTTGCCATTTACCTGGGAGTAAGTCCCACTAAACTCAATGTTAGTTACTTCCAAGTAAATACACAGTATTATTCCCAGGGGTGTTTATATGAAGGGGAGCTACTACGTTTGTTTTCCCTCCAGGGAGGGGCTACCACGTGATAAAATGTAAACAACCATTATCCCTACTATACCAGCTTGTTTTGGTGCATGACAGGCAGCCACGCAGATTCACTGGGGCTTCACTGCCGCCCCCTGCCGCCAGAAAGGTGCTGCGCTCCGCCACGCCCCCCTCCTCGCACCGTGGCATGTGCGCGGAGTTGGGGCAGCAGATGCTTGCGCGGCAGCTGACAGCAAGTTCCGTGTATATTAGAATGCAGCTAAGGAAGAGACAGTGTGACTTCTGCCTAAGGTTAAAATGTGGAATTTAAAAGGCCATTTCTCTCTCTTCCTTTCCTCCCCCCCCC